AAAAAAAAAAAAAAAAAAAAGGAATAAAGAAAGAAAATAAAAGACTCCTCCAAAAATTTTTTAACCCCATTTAAGTTTTCTTGAGTTTATTTCATTATAATCTTACTATACTGTTATTCCTCTATGTTCCCCATGTACTGATATAAGCTCTTACATATTATTTGGCACTGCGCTGCTAGTTTAAGAACTCTAAGCTTAAGAACTTTCACATCTCTTTTGCCTCTGGCATTCGTTTTTTCTTTTTCTGGAAGTAGCAATGGGGGAAACCATTCTGTTATGTGCCACGCGCTGAACTGAGCATGTGACCCGGCCTGGCCAATCAGAACATCCCCCACCACCACCACCATCAGCAAAGATCAGGCCAGTGAGGGTTCATTCTGTGACTCTAATAGGAACTGTTAGGAAACTGGCACTTTCTACTGAAGCTGCTAGGGGCCGTCTTGCCACCTACAGGGGAGTGCTTGTTCAAATCACAAGAAGAAACGTTTCTTGTGGCGTTGTTTCAAATCTGTATTCTGATATTTTTTGAGTTGACTTCGTTGAAGAAATTCAGTTTTTTACTGAAGCTAGTAAGTTTCCATGACTCAGAAAAGTGAGTTAAGTTTCTGTCACTCGCAATCACAGGAGTCCTAATGAAGAGGTTCAGTAGCAAGCATCATGGAGATCCCCCAGAGGCCTGTTTCCTTAAAATCAGTGCCATTTATCCCCGATCTCTACTCTCTCAACTCCTGTCATTATCACATGCTATGCATTCGACAAACAATAATGGAACCATTGACTTAAAGAGCCTTTAACATTTTAAGCTGAAGATAGATTACAAAATCTTCAGGCTTCCAAATATAATCAGAAAATGACTCACCCAAAGAGAATTGTAACTCCTCCTGAGACAAACATTCCAGCTACAAACATAAATTTTGCTCCAATTTGTACAAGCTATAATAAATGTCAAAGCAGAGTGGTCAATTTATGACTTCTACAAGTCTCTATTAATATAAACAAATCCACTGTATTGGAAAATACAGGATGGGGGAAGACATATACAGTTAATACGTTATAATAATTCTTTAACAGAGTGACAGTACACATTGCTTACAAACATGGAAAGAGTTAAAAATCAATCAATTCTGAGGAAGGAACTGTTAACAGTGTTACAATTTATAAAACTACAAAGATGGCTATTCTGTATCAATGCAAATTCTAGACTAGTAAATGAAAATAATTCACCATGCAATTTTTAAAAATTAAGATGTACATATGAACTTTATGCTTACATAGTTTCCAAATACCAAGGATGCCAGCAACTCGGACAAAGCAAAACATCCAAAGATCATCCCGATGATCGTATTGCTGACTCCCTTCTTCTCAGCCTTTAAAGAATAGAAATAGAAACCGAGTTTGAAAAAAAAATGAGCATTAATATGAAAAAATGGCAATATGAGATCAAAGCTTCATCTTCTTGTGAACTTTATCTGTATATCAATTTCAAAAAGATTATTCTTTTCAAATAAATGGGGTGGGGAAGGAAGGGAAACTATTAATAGTTTATATAGTAAACCATAGTCTCTGACATGAAAATAATTCACTCACCTATCCTATAGAGAATTGTTAGCTTTAGCTGCAAAAGTCAGAATCAGAGAATATAAACAAACACAAAAAAGTCTTGGATAAGGAAATTTGGGCTCTATTGCATAGTAACAGGACTGAGGAAACAGCTGATTTGGACACACTTCCTTTGGGGTATCACATTTAGTTACAGGAAACAAACAAAAAACACTTGCCAGTCTACAAATTCAAGGATAGGAAGTTCTATGAGTTGGCACATGGGTCAGATCAAGGCTCAATCAGTCTAGGTCTCTGTTTCTGACAGTAATATCAATTACCTGACAGTTTGGAGAAGACAGTTTTCCTTCCTGTCATCAACAACACAGGTGAAAGATGCTCCCCTGACATGCTACGTTCTCCTGAAACAGCCAAGGTAGTTTATCATCCATCAGTTATAGTTACTAATGTGTATAGCCTATTCTATCAGTGAGCTCCTAAAATTTGCTACATATATTATTTATCCTAAATCTACTTATTTTGAATTTCAAGTGCTATCACTGTGATACACAACTACATTCACGTATAAAAATAGAAAGTTTAAGAAACTTCATCAAGTCCTGGAACTATGGCAGATCCATATCAGGTTCCAGCTATAGGAATTTAAGGAATCAAAATATGAGTTTAATTTCTTTAAGATAGGGCTGGCAACTTAACATACTACAAACTGCAAGCCTGAACTGTCATCAGTCATATACTGACCATCTTGTACATATGAGGCATTGTACCAGCAGTGAATACTTATGGTCAGAAAAATCCACTTTAGGTCCATTCTTTTGGCAGAGCTTCAGATTTCCACAACAATTTCATAATCAATACAGAAATGGACACCTGCACACACACCTTTGCACTCTTCAACATCCCTTCTCTACAACCATGATTGCCTTTCTTTACCTTTTCTCTCTAACTACAGTTTAAGATAAAAATTTTCTCCATCCCTTCTCACCTAAAGATACTATCATTATTCAATCTTTGTCTTTTTCAAGGACGTTTTTTCCATGTCAGACTAGACCTCTTTAAACAAACTCTACATTCCTCATCGCATCATACCACAGGAAGCCAGATAAGTGAACTTTATTGTTCTAAGCTAAATTTTAGGAAGTGCCTCTCTTTTACTCTAGGAAAGTCCTCAGAAATGTCCCTAAGCACTTGATGGTGGGTGAGGGCAGGGACGATGGGCCCATAGCTCCACGGTAATTGCTTGGGCAAGATTTAAGTCCATAATTCTTGGGCTTCATAACTAGCCATTCCCCTTCCATGTACTAATAACCACAGGAAATAATGGTGTGGGTACAAGAGTGATCTCATTAAAACACCTTTAATGGCACTGTAACAAATGATTATGCCGTATGTTGACTGGAACACGAGGTCTACATTTCTACTACACACAGGTCAGGTTCCTCAAAGATAAAGGACTGTGAAAGGAGTCAATTAAGGCATAAGAAGAGCATGCATGGCCAGGCGTGGTGGCTCACGTCTGTAATCCAAGCACTTTGGAGGTCAAGGCGGGCGGATCACCTGAGGTCGGGAATTCAAGACCAGCCTGACCAACATGGTGAAACCCCGTATTTA